TCCTCCTCCTCCTCCTCCTCCTCCATGCCGATCGTGCTTCGCCATTCACTTTTTTGCCCGGGTTCTCTCAGAAAAAAAATTATCCTGGGTTTTCCACCACCTACCTGTGCAAGTCACGGAATTAAAATCATGACAATATCCTAGACAGGGCACTGTCACGCCCTCCACTCTTTTACCTCTATAGAAACATCGCCCTGGACGCGCAAATGAAGAGCAAAACACCAGTTTCGCTATTTATAGTCGAGTGCACGTGCAACCTCTCTCTCTCTCTCTCTCTCTCTCTCTCTCTCTCTCTCTTAGCCTTTCCAAATTGAGTCTAATGATGCTCCATGGTAAGCCGGAGATACGTGCACGGTCTTAGATATTATTGGTACAAGTCTATGGTTCAAGTTCTGAGCTTCTGATTCGCCATGGGTAAAATCCCTAGGGTATATACAACAAGAGGTTCGTGACAGAGTCTGATAAGACCATTTACCTGTGAGTGTCACAGAGGTACGGACGGCGTGACCCTGGGACCCATTTTCCCAACAAAGAACCCGAGATAAAAACCATATAGTGAGTTCTTTATTAAATAAGCTCTTCCTACGGCTGCTAATGAAACAGCGGCCATCTTAAAAAATAACAACATGAAATACATGATTCCTCAGGCTTCTTTTATTTCATGACCGAATTTCCCCACATTTGGTGAGTATTATAAACGTACACACAGTATGATTTTAAGACATTGCAATAGTCGTCACCCAACTGATGATGCTGATTAAGTTCGCTAAGGGCAAGGTCGCGTAGGACTTGGTAGATCTACTTCTTGTTGTTTCGGATAGATAGATAGATAGATAGATAGATAGATAGATAGATAGATAGATAGATAGATAGATAGATAGATAGATAGATAGATAGATAGACAGACAGACAAACAGACAGACAGATAGATAGATAGATACGGTTGTGTCGTGAGTTACCTTTGACGTTGTTCCCGCTGATGTACAGGAAGAGTTTGTGGAACATGTCGCTGTTCACGGTATCTCGGCTCATGGCAGTGGCGTTTGTGGCGACCCACTTGGTGGCTTCATACCGGCGGAGCTCCCAGTCCTGTAAGATGATGATGATGATGATGATGATGATGATGGTGGTGGTGGTGATGGTGATGGTGGTGATGATGATGAAGAAGATGATGATGATGATATTACTAC